CCATGTCGTTTCAGTGAGTGAGATTCGGGGTGTGCTTTAAGCTAAGTCGGGCGGGCTGGTCCAAAGTTCGCGTAGTGCAGAGAATCGAGAGGGGAGTTGGGTACCGGCAGACGATCGAGAATCAGCTGACTGATGGTGGCTGGTGGCTGGTAGCTGTGAAACGCTGGCTATCAATCAGACAATTCATGCTATTATAAGTTATATTTCTGTTAACTAGTTGCTAACCACGATAATTGTTTTTTATGTAATAAAAAGTTCTTGTAAAATTGTTGGTGTTGTTGTGCCCAGTTGGATTGCATGTTGCTTAGGCGTCCTGGCTTTTACGATATTGGTTAAAAGCATATAGGTAAGTTTCTATTAATATTTTAATTTAGCTACTCGTTTAATAATTGTTGCATTTTATTAAAATGATTATAGAAACTCCAGAACATAACTTTACTTTTGTTTTACTTATTTTTATACGTATTTCTATACCTATTTTTTTTGGCTACCTAGTTATTTCAAGCATACTTATTTTCCTTTTTTTTGGTCAGTTGTTTTTTATTTAATAAAATGTCTAAAATAACCCTGTCTCGGCGTCACCTACTAAGAAGAGTAGCACAAAATGTTCAAGATGCTTTAAAGTCAAATCAATTTTAATAAGGCTTCGAACATTAATATATCATCTGATTCTATTATTTATAATAATTTCCTAGAAAATAATACAAATTTAACTTTGGAGCTTTCAGAAAATATTTCAGTTATATTTTGGTTATAGGAATGGGGGTGAACCAAGAGACTTAACCGACCGAACGATTAGAAGTGCTATGCAAGATTGGCTTAAGTTAGCTAAGGCCTGTCTAGGACACAACACATCCAAAGTGTTAAGCTAAGATTTTAATTTTCATATATATTTTTTGTTAGTTAAAGAAAAGTTTCGTTTATTTTGTTATTCAGTATTTTAGTGTTTATTTTTTAGTACTTATTTATTTTTTAGTATTTTATTGTTTATTTTTTTTAATAAAATATTGTACTGTACATATAACACGTAATCAAAAAAAATTCCTAAATATTTAGGCCAATTACAACCAAAATAGAAACACGAGTAATACCTATTTTTAGTGTATACACACCAGCTATGGATGAAATCCAAACTGTCATTTAAGAAACATTAACATTTTTCCATGGCCTCTTTTAGAAATTTTGTTTTGATCACTTTATTTAAATTGTGTTTGAAATACATTTAAAACAATATCAGGTAGACGCATTTTACACATTAATAAAATAAGATAAATCTAATATAGACGTATAGTAAAACAGGATAATAAAATGTAGATAAAATAGTAATGTTAGACGTATAAAACATAAAAAAATATATATCTTTATAGGGCGGACATTTTCACGTATATATTGGGTAGCATATCAACGGTATCCATACGTATATTGTAGTACATAAAAAAACGTCTTTTGTATTAAAGTGGATTCGTATAAATATACTACAACTATAAATCTAATATAGACGTATAGTAAATCCGTTTAATTATAGGTGGATAAATTCTTAGTAATCAACGTTTATAAGGCGGACATTTTCACGAATATATTTGGTAGTACATCAACCGTATTCATACGTATAGTAGTACCTAAAAAAAAAAAACTTTATTTATACCAAAGTGTGCTGCCTGGGAAGTAACCATTAGCGTCTCTACCATTTTTTTAAAAGAATCATTGTACCTACATTTTATGCAAAAGGCCGTTAAACTTGAATTTAAAATAAATGGTAAATTTAGTAAATCAAATTTAAAGAACTTGTATTATGTATGAAGAATATTGTTTTTAATTTTGGACTCTAGTGAAAAGTTAAAAAAAAAAATAATCATAATTTTTCAATATAAACAAGCTTTTTGTTTTTAAGTAATTTTATCATGATAATGTTGAAGATGTTAAATCAATAATAATTTTTGTTTTTTGTAGGTTTCCAGTTAATCCTGACGAAAAAACGCATTTGGTGAAACATATTAAAACTTACCCCAGAAAACATTTAAAATAGTGATGTTTTATGTTCAAATCATTTTTCTGGTTATATATTTATGTCAAAGACTGGATGTGGAGGAAGAACTAGATTAATTTCAGGTGATTTGCCATCAGCATTTACTGAGGCCCCAGTTTAAGATAAATCCTTAAGGTAAAGAACCCTGCACTTTTCTTGTGAGTTAATCATTCAAAATTTTTAATTTTTCAGTGATGATCTGAACCATAAAGCCTCTTTTGCAGAAAAAGAAAATGCAGATTTAGAAAACATATAAGTAACTAAGTACTTTTAATACAACATAAATTTTATTTTAAAATAATTACCACAAAAATTATTATATTACAATAATTATTTTTTATAAAATATACCTATGTTCTTTAATTAAGTAGACTACTTAGTCATTAAAAAATAAGCAAAGCCTAATGTGAGTTTTTTAATATTTAGGCTTCTTTTATTTGCACCCCTAGTCATTAAGAAATATTCGAAGCTTAAGACAGTTTCCCAATAAAAATAAAGTTTCACTTATTTGTTAACGACTAGCAGTGTAAATGAACCTTAGTACCTAAGTATTAGCCTGATTTCTATTTGTAGCATATCGAGTAATCTATTGAACATTGGTTACGAACAATATTTTTATAATAAATAAATTATTGGAAAAAGTTCTTGTATTGTAATTCTCGTACACGTGTGTTAATAGATATCATAAATATTTGTATAATATACCTACTATTTATTTATATTTTTGATTTTTAAATATAAGCTTCTTGTCTTTTTTATTGCCTATTATTTTAACCTTCATTTTTCCGTTATAAACTTTCTGATGTTTGAATTAAAAAAAATCAGATAATATTAATAATAATATTAATAATAATAATAATGATAATAATTTACTATTACTAGATAGGTACATACTTAAATAATGTAATTTTATAAAATATGTGCATAATTTAAAGAATCTTGAAGGTAGGGTCAAAGTTAATAAATCTCTATTTCGTTCTGAACATACCTAAAATATTACATTTAACGACAAATTACCAAGCGCGCGTTTTCTCAGAATAATCAAGTAAATATATTGTTACTGTGATTACGGGGTAAACAACTGTCACCAATATAAATAAATGTCAGGTAAAGCCGGATATTAAATTCGCGAATAATAAATATTAATAAGAAGTTTGTTGTATTTTAGTTCATTGTTGTTTTTTATTGTTTGATATTAAATAGGTATTATAAAATTTGTCAAAAAAATGTGTTATTTTTTTTAAATATAAAAAATATTCATCTAGAATAGATGAAATGAGGGCGGAAGTGAGGGCAGGAAGTGAGGGCGGGAAGTGAGGACAGGAAGTGAGGGTGGGAAGTGAGGGCGGGAAGTGAGGGCGGGAAGTGGAGGTGTGTAATGTGACACTTCCCAACCTTCAATGACGTTAGTAATGACAACATTACATATATGGTTGTAAATAAAAGTTAATTTCCCCTGCATGTTAAGTTTAAAGGGTGCTAAGAGCTAAGAGTTTTTTATGTTATTCCGTTGACAATAACTAAAAATGACGTCTGTCTTCTTATCGTAAAAATAGTTTATTAAACTTTCAATGGTAGCAGCCATGATGTGGCTTATTACTATTTATATTATTATCCAAAAAAAGATTCTCTAACTTTATGTTATGCCTGAAATTTCTTAGTCTTATCAAAATAAATATCATAATTAAAAAAATAATTCTTTGAACATTTTAAAAGATTGGGTGGATCATACAAGGTAATTATCCTTTTTCCATTGACAAATAATAAGGACCAGATTTTTTAATTTTATTATCTTCTCGAGATTGTTTTAGTGCTGATCGATTTGAATTCCGCAGATCACAAACAGTTGCCATAACATTTAAACCTACTTGTTGCAACTCCATAATGACTTCTACATCAATTTTCAGTCCATTTTTTTTTAGCCAAAATGAGTTTTCTACGTAAAATATATTTTTAACGATTACCGATCGTTTGGTGCAAAAATCAGCTATGTCCGAAACATAATAAAGCTTTTATATGCTCATAAGGACTTAGCCGCCCTTAGACTTGGAAGCAAGAATCAGCAAAGTCCTGGACTTGACTGGTTTTTGCAACAAAAACCGTTAAATTATTTTATAGTGGGGACTTGGCTGTCACGTCACGTCACCGTGTGCATTTCGCTTAGAGTCGAGATTTTATTTTCAGAAAGATTAGTGTTCATTGTTGAGTACCTGTGTATTTCGCGAAATCTTAAAGTGCAGCAATGTTTTCGTCTTCTGAAGGCGAGGAGCCGTTTGAATCGTCGGGAAGTGAATACTCGCCGACGGAAGAAAGTCGTCCAGGGACAAGTGGCTTACAAAGATTCTTAGATAATCCTAAACGCGCGAAGAAAAACAAATTGTCAAAAAAACAGGATGCAACCGTTTCAACTAAAGAAAAAAGGGAAGAAAAGAACGAGAAGTACAGATACATGGGAACGAAATATTAGAAAATCAAAAATTGCTGCAGGTGAGGAATATACTACTGTGAAAGATAAAAAGATAATACCTAGGCGAATAGTGGGTAGTAATTGCGAATGTAGACAAAAATGTTTCTTCAGGATTAAAATAGAAGAAAGAAACCAAGTATTAAAATGCTTTAAACAGTTTGAAGACAAGGAAAACAGGATATCTATCTCGCGGGCCCGATTACAGTTCAAAATGTAGCAAGAAAAAAATAAGAACTGGGACCGGCAAAGAAAAGACTCTTTTTTATTTTTACTGTAGATCCTGTTGGCAAAATGCGCATATACTATGAACCTGAAACTGAACCTGAACCAGAGAGTCTGTTTAACTTCTTCCCCTTGACCCATTTCGCCACTTCCTCTATAGATGTTTAGAACATAACAATCGTCTACAAACTCTATACACGCTTCTTCTATGAAATAAAATTTGCTTGGAGTATCCGTATCGTACTCAGATGATTGAGCATTTCATTCTACTATTCTTATACTTACTTTCTGCTTCTTCCATACAGTTAATCATTGCATTGCCGCAAATTTTTGTTGTGTTTGTACCTAATAAAAGAAATAAATATATTAGTGATCGTTTTTTTTGTATTGTGTTGCTTGGATCTCAATATTTATTGATGTTTTTTCCTTATTTGAAAGTTTATTAAAACATATCAAAACATAATGTACAAAGTCAATTTATGCAAAAATAAAACCTATATTCATTTATACTTTGAGGTGCGTATAGATATAACGGGCCGGGCCAAGGTCAACAACAAGCCCAGGTTCTTCAGATTTGTACGGTGTCGTATATCTACCATGCTACGGAAACCAAATGGACCTACTTCGATCCTGTTTGGCCCGGCCCGTGGTAAGCTCGTTGCTTTTTTTAATTTTTTTTAATTTTATTTTTTTTATATAAAGTGTTTTACATTTTTCTAGGACATTTGATTTTCCTATTTCACTGCTATAAGAGTTATCCTCATTTTCAGAATGTCTCATTGCTTTCCATCGCGCTGTTAATATACGACACCGTACAAATCTGATAAACCAGGGCCGCCGTTAACAACGGGCCCAGGTTCGTCATATTTGTACGGTGTCGTAGGTTTACCACGTGATGGAAAGCAAACAGACCTACTTCGATCCTATTTGGCCCGGAGCACATACGGCCATTAGCGGGAATTAGCATGCCAAAAATAGTTGTATTTTTCAAAGTAATTTTTTTGCTTAGATTTAATTGAAAGAACAATGTAGGTTGTTGAATAGACTGCCAGGTTGTCACATTTCACATAAAAATGCATAAAAAGTGGTTTACTATCTAATTAAGGCGTCAAGTTTTAATCATTTATATAACACTACTAAAATACGTGAAAATAATGCACATACATTTTGAGAACGCTTTACGTCATTATTTTAATGATTAACTGAAATACAAATAATATACAGAAATTAGTTTTTTATTCGGAATTATCAGTCACTATCTGGATTTATATCACTTTGTACACCATCTAAACTATAACTTAAAAAAGTAACATACTCAGTACAGCTTCTGAAAAAGGGTGTATTTCGCTTTTTTTTGTATTTGTAATCAGGGGATATGATGACAGTAGCATTCTATTCATTATGTCTCTGTCCGGTTCCAATCTCGATGTCTTCCGTGAGTGATACAACCTTACAAGCTAATACTTCTTCTGAAGTGTATATAGCCATGAATTAAAATATGACGAATTATGAATTTCTTTGGTTTTTTCTCTGTGCGCGGAGACAAGCTTATAGCTAATTTTATAACTTGCGCCGAAATTCTTTCTTCACTTTTGAACAGACTCATTTCTACAGCTTTGCAAAGTGTTTCTTTGGACATGCTTAACACAAGAGGTCCTACTTTTCTTAACTTCGACCGTACAGAGCTCTCATCGAAAAAATTTTTTGGTCTTCCACGTTTTTGATAATTTCTTACTTCTTCTGCCATGGGTGTTGCAGAGATATTAGAGTCTAATCTAGGAATTATTATCTATCTATCCATAAAGCATATTTTTTTGGTGAATCTTGCGGGTTGTACCTTTGCATATATCCACTTTTTGTTAAGTTTCGACACGAATATCTTTATAGTACATTTAAAACGTTTTTCCGAGCACGTGGGAATTTCTGATGTATTAAATTTAATTAATATGTACCGTTCTACTTTTTCAATGCACTTAGCAGTCAACAGTTTAAAGAATTTATCGCTTTGTAGAACAGAAAAAAATTCATTTCTAGTGATTTTGGGGAGATGCGGATCAACGTTGTTGTGACTACCTCTAAAGAAAATAACTCGTATCAGACAGAGGACATTTGGGGACGCAAATTTTTGTAAGCTCTTAAAGATAAAAGTCTTATTTAACTATAACATAAAAAACGAGAGTGGAACTCGGTGGAACTTTTTTTGTAGCCCTTGCAGAAATTAGCCGTTATAAAAAAAAGAATGAATAAAATTAAGTCCACTAAAAGCTGCCGTTATTATTAGCCAAGAAACAAATAAATACATTGTTAATACTTGAATAAGAAATACATACATGAAGCTTCACAGTCCATCTTGAAAATTTTCTTGTATTACAACATTTAAACAACAATACGTACTTTTCCAACAAGTGTTCGCATGCTGATTTCTGCGTCAACCACACTTAAGACTGAACGTGCACTCTTTCTACCCATATTACTCTCTTATTTATCCGCGGTTCTCGATGGCGTAGAACCAGATAAGAGCACGAATGTATACAGAACAATACTGTGTGGATGAAACATGTTTTTAAAATATCAATTTTTTTTATTTTTGGCGCGCTAAATAGGGATAATTGCCGTATGTGCGGTGGTAAACACGTTGCTTTCCATCGCGCGGTAGATTTACGTCACCGTACAAATCTGACGAATCTGGGCTCGTTGATGGCACAGGCCCAGCCCAGACCCCTTTCGTTATATCTATACGCACCTAGACTTTCAAATATACCTTTTTTAATATCTTTTTTATTGCTAAATATTTCAACCTTCACTTTTTTTTAAACATCCTGATCACTGTTTATGGGTAAAGAATCAATAAGCACACTCGGACCAATTAAATGTTCCAAAATAACATCCACTCCAGGAATACAAATACAGGATGCACAGAAGACTGCTGTTTGAATATAGGCGGTTGTCATATTGCATTGGTTATATTAAGAGAGCCCACAGCAAATTTCGACCTTCATCTGATAACAAAATGAAATATGCTCCAAAGGCATGTAACAACATTGTACTTTACCAATTTACCAAATTACACGTTCCAATCCCCATCCTAAGCAAAGTGGTTAAGAAAATTATTTTATATTCAAAAATTACATAAGACATGACAGCGACAATTGTGTTTTCCCTGAAAATTACAATCCTAATTCATTGTGAACCTAGCTTTTGAACCTGAATTATTAATAAATTTTTCTACACCTACATAGATATTAGCTTATCCACGCGTAGACTACAAAACGAAAAAGTATGTTACCGTAGAATGGGGTGAATAGGATCAATTTTAAATTTTAAAATAGCGTATCTCTCAGAGTGATGTAGTGAGATATATCCTGTATATATCAAAATATGAGTTTATATCTACTCTATTCATTTTTGATTCAAAATTTTTTTTTCAGCGATTCGTTACCCGCATATATATTTTTTTGTTTGCTGATCCTATTCAACTGCCATTGTGGTGAATAGGATCGACCATGCTTTTTTAATGTTTAAACGCATACTCCCTTCTGTGGTGTGTATAGGATCACTTAACTTTTAAGTGTGAGTCCACCTAGAAATTAAAAACCCGATGGCGCGGCCAGTCGGAAAGGTAGATATCATAAATAGTAATTAAAAGTAGTTTTTGTTTGTAACTTTTATTTTAATAAGTACATATGTGACAGTAAAAGCTATTTTAATTATTGTTTGTTGTTGTATTCACTCACACGAATTTCAAATCTGAGAAGACCTCTTCCATATGTTACTGGAAGATTTAATTTACCAACAATACGTTGAAAAGTAAACTCATATTCGTCTTTCACATCCGGGAAAGTGTAGACATAACCTGAATAGCCACTGTAATTATGTTAGGTTCAGTTTTCTTGTAGCGTTTTCCACCCACCGTAGGTTTATAATCCCTAGGCATTATGACGTAGGTACCTCTTGATCCTATTCACCCCTGCTTTTGATCCCATTCACCCCTGATTTTGATCCTATTCACCACTGCTTTTGATATCCTATTCACCCCTGCCTTTGATTCCATTTACCCCGGTAACCTGAAAAATATCCAACGAATTACAAATATTCTTACAGTGTGATTTCGGTGTTGAATAGGCAAAAATAATTTTGAATGAGTAAAACCAAGTTTGGTAGATTTTCACATTTAAAAAAAAAATAAAAAATAAAAATTAAAAACACTACACATGACATGTTTCGAAGTACAACTTCTTTTTCAAATGTATTTCATATATATTGGATACCGAATTGCAAATTAGTCACATTTGAAAAAGAAGTTGTATTTCGAAACATGTCATGTGTAGTGTTTTTAATTTTTATTTTTTATTTTTTTTTATTTTTTAAAATAAAAATTTTAGTGAAAATCTACCAAATTTGGTTTTACTCATTCAAGATAAAATGGATTTTCATCAAGTAAAGGCCGAAACAATAAATACAAATAATTTTATTTGCCTTAGTTACTAACCTGATGGAGTAAATAATGTCAACTCGCATAAATATATTCCTCTCAAATCCGCCTACACAAACAAAGTTTACGTACACGTGAAAACAATTAATTGACAGCACTTCTAGTTACGAGATGGTTTGCAGAGCTACCAACTGCTGAACGACAAAATATCACTAATCGTTATAGAGGGAATAGTAGGCAACCAATTAAACAAAAAAATAGGAGTTTCGATTAAAATATAATTTTTTGAGGGTTTGAATAGGAAAATCCCACTTATTAATCCGATTCACCTCAGCGATCATATTCACCCCATTCTGCGGAATTTCGTTCAACTGAACGAATATATTTCATATCCATTCTAGGTAGTGAGAAAACTGCAAAAAATCAAATCTACCAATCACACTTTATATTTTGGACAGCCAACTACTATTATTTTTAAAATTTTAAATAAGTGACAATCCTGTCAAATTAATTGTCAGTATATTTTTTAATTATTGAGATTAAATATACATTAAAATGAGTTATTTTTGTGTAGAATTGATAAATAATCATTAATAATAACATTTTTATTTTTATTTGAACCATATTTAAAAAAAAAATTAAACTATGAAATTATTATCATTACGAGTATCGTAAAAGTGGCCGTAGACGCATGAACAGAGTGCTTGCCTTCCACGCGAAAAGCCGGAGTTCGATTATCGGCTGGCGACTAATTTTTTTCCATATATATTTTATTTTAAAAATCAGTAAGATTTATAAATTATTTTAAAATAGTTATTTTGTTTTAATAACCTAAAATATATTTTTCTAATTTGTAAATTTTCGTTAGTGGGTCGTAGAAAAATATACTGTACAACTCGAGTGAATTGTCTATATCCACTCTTGTTGCACAAACTAATATTACCTACCTTTTAAACTATGTGTATGTTTGAAAGGTTTGTCGTTTCTATGGCAACCTGTAAAAATGAATTACAACGATAGACATACAAATAAATTTTTAAATCAGCAACATATGATTTATATTTTTAATGATTTTTACCTACTAATCGTGGATTAATGTTTCTGTGCGATGCTAAGAGGAAGAAAATGTTTCCCTTTAACGATATACACTGTGTCTCAAAAATGCTTCGTTACGGAAATACAGGGTGTGACAGTTTCATAAAAAAAATACAATTTTTTAAATATTTCCAAAACTACTTGAGATATTTTAATTAAATTTTTGCAGATTTTGAGAGTTAGCAACGTTGCGTGTTTTACTGTAAACACAGTGGCTTTTGTTTAACCAGTGGCGTGCGGACAAGGTCAATTTTACACCCGAACGAAGCATTTTTGAGACAGTGTATATGACAAAAATACCTTTATTTTAGCTTCAGAATACGCTTCTGAAGTTATGTACCGTACTTGTATATGAAGATATATGTATTTGAATATGTTATTTTCTGGAAAACTTTAAGGGCAAACAAAATTAGCGCTGCCATGCCTCATGTGATTTTTTTAAAAAATAATTTTTTCAACCACTTTGCTCAGGATTGGGATTGGTAAAGATGCTATTTGGTAAAGTACAATGTTTTTACATGCTTTGGGGGAACATTTTATTTCGTTATCATATCGTTTCGGTAAAAATTTGCAGAGGGCTTTTGGACTATTATGATTTGATTCTGTATGCGCCAGGGATACAAATCTGAGTTGCGCAATCTATAAACTGGAACATTGAGATCAAAAGTGCCGAGGCAGAGTAAGCGAACTGATTCTTTATGTTCTGATCAAATATATTTTTTTTTTAATGATCACACTCATGAGAAATATATTACAATAGTTCCTTGAAATTAAAGAAACGTAATTAAATTTTTGTATTGATCTTCATGGGATGAATGTGTTTTTTTATTTTAATAAAACCACAGTTTTACTTATGTTTTGTGAAGCTTTCGGTATCTGTTTTATGCCTCCTTCAGTTCTTTTTATTTCCCTTATTTTTTTTATTAATGGCTCATTATTATTAATCTTTTATATTTAATTTCTCTTTTTTTAAGCCTATTTTTAAATATGTATACTAATTTATTTGAAATTCCCTGTAAATATAGAACATATATCAAATTTCCAGTTCTTTTATATTAATACATCCGGGGACCGGTATATGGGTGCTGAATTTTTTTAAATTTTTTTCGTCCACACATCTAATTAAATACTGATGAAATTTTTATATAAAAAATCGATAATTACTACTTAATTGCATGTCTACAAAATATGTTGCGTCAAACTTGAAGAAGTATTTAATTTATTATTTAGGTATATTAATTTCAAACCCCGTTAAAATATGCGTCACTGGTTTTAGTATCTGAAACTTCTTATCTTTGGTACAAAACAAACCATATTGAATGCTGTTTTTATGAAATATAAATAAAGTTTTGGTCTAAATATCTACGTAGTAATATGAATTAAAAATAAAAATATTTGAGCTTCTAGTGTTATTTAACCAATACTATTCAATCCTATATTTTGATCGGTTACTCATGGTTTATCAATTGGTCAAAACTAAAATGTATAAAATAACAAAATAAACTTACGAGGCATAAAAAAATTTACACAACCACATTTTTGTAACGTATAATTAGCCAGGCATTCCAAATAACAGTTTTCTTGTGTGTAAGTTAAGAAATAGTCTAAATATCTTTCATCAGAGAAGTAACATTGTCTGTCAGCTAGCTTGTAAGCCTTGACAATTGCTGATGTTGTCATCAAACTAGGTCTAATAAGAACTGTAGTAGATGTATCAAATGGCATGAAGAAATAATTTCGACTTATCGTTGGGATTGAATTTGGTGCGTGAATTGTAACCTGTAAAATAGTGTTCATTTTTTATCAATTTTAACAAACAAACATAGGAAATCCTCTACATCATTTCTAAAACAATCTAATGCATAAAACAAAACTAAAATTAAATAGACCCATCGACAAAAATGTAAGTCTAATGCGTAAAAAATCAAATGATAACATAATATTAATTTAAACATTTAGAGTGTAATGTCGTATTCTCACTCCTTATATTTTGAAATGGGTACAATCTATTGCACAAGGCGATTGTGCATTTATTCGATATGGTAGCAAGATACCTGATACCACATGGTGTTATTAAATACTCGTATATGTAAGTGTACATATTAAAACAGACTAAGTTGAAAATACTCTCACTGGGTAGTGTAGGTAGGACCGGTTCTTTAGTTATTATACATCTGAGTTATCCCTCAACAAAAATGGGTCATCTGAATAAAAGAAAGTATTACCTTATAAGTCATAGCTTATAAAGATAGATTAAAACTTCTATGCATAAGACAATTCCTTATTCTTATTTAAAAGAAATTTAGATTTTTCTTAAAAGTAAATACCGGAAATTAGAAATTATAAGTAATTTCTTGTAAGTACTTACTTATACTTAAAAGTGCTTAAATTTTTTATTGTGATAAACAGAAATGAATACAAAAACAAGTCGTAAAGGTTTGCTTCTGGCTGCAAGTAAACATCTCTTTTCAATAAGGATAATTTCCTGACCGTAGCAGAACTTTATATAATTAAAAATTTTCCTTGGTTTCGGTCATTAATTTTATTTTCTATCGTTGGCACAGCACTACATATGCGTCAGAAAACTTTGTTTCCATCTTCGGGTGCAGTCAAAATTTAAAAAAAATAACGATAGAAAATAAAATTAATGACAGAATAAACCAAGAAACATTTTTTTTATTTATATAAAAATCTCTTTTCAAGGTTAAGCGGTGTGTCTATTAGCACAATTATAGCACTGCAATGATGTCTTCGAGTAAGGAAGGACGTCTCTTAAAAATTGGCTGTTACAGACTTTGATTTGCAATAACTAAAAAGTCGCAAAGTTCTTTTAAATAAAGCAATATTTCCTATCATGGTTCAAGCTAAACAAAAGACTTGGACATATTTCAAAGAAGTATTTATCCAAACTTCTGACAAAATTGTTACTATTAAGAAGTTGAAAAACTTCTCTATGTTATGAAAACATACGCAATGGAAAAATTTATAAAAAATTTAACCGGTAAAAAAAATTAAACTGAATGGGAAAAATATTTTTTGGAACTTTTAAATTACGAAAAAAATCTAGTTTCTTGAAAATTCCTGGGGAATGTCCCATTGAGACAGAGAATGAAAGACTAAATATTCCACAAAACTCCAGAGACCAGTAATATAGATACACAATCAAGCAAAAAACTGAACAGACAGAAAACCTGTCAACACATAGACTTGTTTTTCTTGAGCAATTAAATCTCGTTAGTGCAAGCAAAAAAAAAACAACTCATGATATACAGACTGACAAAGATGACAAATTATGATTCAACAACTAATTTTAGGCGACAAGGAGAATGTAGCGGCATTCCCTCAGAATTAACAGAATTTATAGATTTTTAGTAAACCAGTAATTTGTCATTTCATTTTAATTATATATAATTATAATTATATAATTAACGTTACATGGTGTTTGTACTTTCTTATTTATTAAAATATAAAAAACAGATAATTGTTTTGAAATTATTAAATCATCAGTAAAAAACTAAACATTTTACCAGTGTTTTTTAGTGACCTTCTGACGAATTTTATCATCTTCCATTTCATCACGTAATCGAAGTCTTTAGAATTTTTCATTTCATTTGATGTAAACTGGAAATTATCCTATAGGTGTTTGCTAATATTACGTAAAACAGTGCAGCAAGATAATACTATTATATTTAACATTATAAAAAAATAGCAATTTGCTATTTTATGTCTCAAAATTATTTTTGTAGACTTTTCTACCAATAAAAAACTTATAAAAAAACTTAGGATATATATACATGCAATCAGACATTACTAAGCCCGAAACGTTACATTTCAAATGATATATGAAGCCCACTAGTCACTTACGAAGCCCGATTTCGGGCTTCCTAAAAACACAGTGTATAAATTCGTTTTAGAGGCAAGTAACCCCATCTGTATCGTTTAAGAAAAAAAGTGTGGGCTTCAAAATGTCGGAAAATACCTCCAAATATACGCCTGTAGTTCAGTGGTTTAAGCGGCAGAGGGCGCAAGAGTCAAACGCGATTATATACAGATCATGTTAAACAAACCACCATTAAGAAGCCCATCACATCCGGCAACACTGTAGTCTCGGGAATAATGAATTATTTACCCATTTCAGGTTTATTTTAACGTTTAACACATTCGCTGCGGGCGCGTCATCAAATATGCGTGTTACGGTGCGTCGATTTTTTCACTTAAGTGATAAAAATTTATATTATTTTAAATTTTTAGATAAATTTATTTAGTTGTGAGAAGGAGGTATTCATAAAAGTACCTGAAATATTTATTATAGGCAAGCGTATAATACTTGATTTCATTAAGATCACCAAAAATCTAAATAAAAAGTATTAAAAGTAATTTTAAAAAACCGACATCAAAATCGTGCAGATGCCATCACCACATCTTGACCAAATTTATATGGGATCACCCCTGAGGTACCCCCTTTCTAACAAAAAAATCATTAAAACTGAACAGCGTGTTAAAGATTTATCGCTTAACATACATTTAAAAGAATATTCCGACGAATTGAGAACCTCCTCCTTTTTTGAAGTCGATTAAAAATATATCTGATGAGGGTTCTATAAAAATTTATATTATTGGAGGGTGGGTTGTCCTACAGCACTTAGGCCTCACTAGACCTATTGTGCATCCTCCTGAATTAAGAGGCCTCTCTTAGTTTGTCAGCGAGCCTACAAATTTAATGTAGTTGACAACGTCGCCGAGAAATGTTTATATCGGCCGGTGTTAGTCATTGCTCGCTGAACACAAATCTTATGATAATTGAGAGCCTTGGGCAAGGGAAGAGGATTCTCTCATCTTCTTGTTCGTATCTACTGCAGAGTGCTGATTCTGACAGTCCCATGCTATGGATGTGCTTCTGTGCTTGTCATGGTCAGGCACATATTCTGTCTAGTCATAGTCAAGCAATTGTTTGCTGTTATGTTGCAGGGATAACTTTAAAGCACCCTGATTACTCTGCAGCTTCTTGTTGTTTTCTATCTTTTCTTGAATTTCACAAGGAAATATTATTTAGACAGGTTTGCCTCTACCGATGAATAGGTCCAATTAAAGGGCCAGGTCCAAAAAGTATTTGGTTGTCTGCCTTCTTGCCTAGTGAATCAGCAAAACGGTTACGTTTTGATGTGGTAACTTCTGATCCATCTTAAATTGATCACAATATTGATAGATGATCCTTCGGCCTAAGCTACGTGACATTCTAGTACTAACCTTGAGTAAATTATTAATGGTCTGTTCAGCGTGAGTAGTTCTTGTCTGCTATCTCTATATTTGATACTGTCTATTTTAACTTCTTTTTATGCTATGAGTATCCCGTGAGCTCTATTTGAACTGCACTGAAATTATTGCTCAGAGTACATTTTATATTTAGGTTTAACGATGGGAACTGTCACATCCTAAGCCTATTTTTCTTTTTGAATCGTCGGTGTAAATATGAATTTTACCCTTATAACTTTATATGGCTTATGGAAGATATATCTCGCTGAGCAACCTGTTTGATTAAAATATCAAGAGGAATGAGATGGAGAATGACTTTTACGGCTCCGGTTGATAGGTACATACAATCGATTGTTCGAGGAATAGCACAAATATAGTATACAGGGTGATTCCAAAGTTAATACTTTTTTTTAAATGTGTATTCATTAAAATAAACTATTTAAAAAAATCACAAGGATTTAGGTCTGGTAGCCATGCAACTGGCCCATTTCAACGGATACACTTATTCTGAAAAGTAATGTTTAAATACTATCGTACTTTCCGACTGATATCCAGATTTATATATTTTAATACGCAACTTTCTTTGTTTCGTGGCCACCGAGCTAAATCATTGGATTTTTCATTTTTTTTTCTTATATTTATTTTTGACTTTTTTTTGAAAAGGTTATTTATTTGAAAATAAAATTTACTTGAATAGTTATGTATTTAAAAAAGTTATGTATATAAAGAAGGAATTTATTTAAAAAAGTAATTTATTTCAAAAAGTTATTTATTTGAACAATTTATTATTTTAAAAAATTTATTAATTAGAAAAATTATTTATTAATTTGAAAAAGTTATTTATTTTAAAAAGTTAAGTTAAGCCTGAAACGGCGCTTGGCCCGAATTGGCACATCAAACTGCCGTCTAGGAATCTCGACAGTAAATGTCGTTATGGTATAGAGTTAGGGCATTTGTGCACAGAAACAAGATATCTGGGTTCAAAACCCACGACCACATGCTTTTTTTCAAATTTCCAAATATTTGTTTTTACCTTTGTGGTTCGAAGATGGCCTTAAAAATTCGTAGGGGGATTTTTTAGATGTTTTTACGAATTTTCAAATTATTTCTACAAATAATTTCAGATAATTCTGACCTTTCGGATTTCTATTTGCGATTTACGATATATTCAATTCACAATTTTCGTACTTAGGTTTACGTCGCTTAACGTACATTGAAAACTTAACTCACGCAGACGAAGATATGAGCTTAGTATGCATCAATGCATTTCTCATACACACCGATGTTGTATAGAGGTATTTAAAGATTTGAGAACGAGCCTCAAAAGGCGCTTGGCCAAATTAACACATTATACTGCTGTCTTTGTGTACAGAACAAAGATATCTGGGTTCGAGTCCTACCGACGAAAGGCTTTTTCTAAATATCCAAGTATTTGTTTTTACCTTTGGGGTTTGGAGATGGACTTAATAATTCGTAGGGGTATTTTTGAGATTTGTTTTCGAATTTTCAAATTATTTCTAGTTAGG